TTATCATATGCAGCCGTTTCGAGGAAACATAATATCCACAGAAGAAACATCTGCAGAAACATGAAATATCGCTCGATTATATGATATACCGTCAGAAATTTAGCTATTTCTCAAAAAGTAGTCACTTTCATTCGACAACACGTGTAATATTCCCATGGCAGAGAATCTTTTGAATCTAATGCTGTATTATGATCATTGTGGTAGTGGGCAGATCTGAGGACATAGACAGCGTGATAATATTACTCCAGATTTTGTCATTGCAATGCATTGCTGATCAGCACACAGATCAAACTTTTAGAGCTTGTTAGTGGTATACTGGAATCGCTTAGCAGCGTGTCATACCTTCGGAAATTCAGCTGTTTCTTATGAAATAGGCATTGTCGTTCCACAACATATGCAGCATTTTTATACCACAGGAAATTGTGAATTTAATGCTGCACAGAAATCATTGTGGTACTGAGCAAATTGGAAGATATACATAGCTTAAAAATGTTGAATCAGATTTTCCAGTGGTAGTGGTGCATTGCTGACCATTGTAGAGATGAAATGTTCAGAGTTTAGCAGCAAAACGAAATCGCTCAGCTGTACAACGAAGTACTTTTAAAAATCTAGCTGTATCCCATTACTTAGTTAATACTCTCACGAAGGTGTATTTGTTTGATCGAAGAAGATTTGCTGAATCCAATCCGATTTTGCAATATGTGGCTTCGTTGATGAGTTTGAAAGCTTGTTAAAATGATCTTAACTGAAGCAAATTCTCTGTCATCAAATGAATGACAAAAACTTCGGACCATTGACATTCCCACTCGAATTTCTTGTTTGTTTGTTTGTCAAGATCTTACAGGCGATACCAATAAATCACCTTATTGAATGCTATTTTTTCATGTATTCTATTAGTCTTTTAGGCTGATTGCTGAAATTCTTGCAGTACAAATCAATCCTCAAGATACATATTTCTTATATCACTTGATGCTATCGTAACATTTTCGCATACTATATCAGTTGCCATTTCAGGATAGTGTTGATTGCGTTCAACGTTGAGTTACGACAGAGACTTTGTGAGTTGTTCAACTTCTGGTCATCGAAGGGTCCAGCAAAGAATCGCAGGAAATCATATCTCCCCAGTGAATTATCAACTGATTATAAAGTGTCGTCGTGTGTAACCAACAGTTCTGCTTGTTAATTTTCATTGTTGTACTCATATACTGATATATATTGTTCCTCTTCTTCAACATGTTCTTTACGCTCATGCATCAAATACTTTAAACATTTTTTAATTTATATAATAAATAATTTACTGGCATTCCCTCAGTTTCAATGAGGATATCATATCAAATCATATTCAATTGTGCCGTCAAGACCGTATTTGCCTAGCGATTCCCTAATTCAGCTATGCTATTACGTTTGCACTGATGGAATGCCAATGCTCGGCAAAGAGCTAGCATACCAACTTTATTATTACCATTCTTTCACCGTAAATATCGACAGAAAATATGCTTTGAATACACATATAACTTGTAAATAATTTGTAGAATACATACATATATTTGTACGTAAAATAAAGTGGTGCTGTCTAATGACAGCTTTTTAGGTCGACATAAAACACTTGCATCCCTAAATACTGCAAAATGTAAATGTCTGAAACATTTTGTAATACTGTAACATTTTGTAATTTGTAAATGTAATATTGTAACAAAAATTTGTAATTTTGTAATTTTTATAACGTTTTATTTTATTTTATTTTCCAAACAAAACAAACATTTTGTAATTTTGTAACAAAACGTAAATGTAATACTGTAAATCACCCACTGCATTTTCTCTGAATGAAACAAAAAAATTATTCGTTGCAAGGTAACCAGAATTAAAAACGTTTACAAACAAAACGAAACAAAATCACACATAAGCAAATGAAATAGATTCTACATCTGGCGTAATCAACAGCCTCTTTTAACGTTATCATTATTAGGTTTCTCTTGCTTCATATTATATTCCACAGATGTTTTCTCATGTCCAAATATGTTCACCATATTTATTGATTACTTAATCGAAAACATCCCAAAAACTTTAAATTCCAGGTAGATTCCGCCATTGACGTCCACCAATCTATTTGTAATAACTTGCTGGAGGTCGAAACTCGTCATTTCTTTGATCACGCTCNAATAAATAAATAAATAAATAAATCGTAATCTATTTGTAGCGTATCTGATCAAATTCCATATCAAACTCCTGACAACAATCGATCGAGAATGAAACGATCAAAAATTCGAGTCAGATATATACGATGAAACATCCACAAGGAATAATTTCTCATGTATCATACCTTTGCCTTTATCCCATTCACGAACTCCGTACTTCTTTTGCTGAGCTATCCGGTCGATCTTCTCGTCGTGCTTCGACGGTTCTGGTTCACTCGGCATTGGAATATCCAAAAATGGTCCAACCACTTCCTCTTCTTCGTCTTTCTCATCTGAAACGAAATGAAGTGATAATACTCATGAAAACGCTTTTTTTTCATTCACACCAATTTCTTCGGAGACGTTCTAACGTTAGGACGCATAAGAACAACTCCAGTTTTATTCCAATCTGATACTTTGGAAGTTAACTACTTGCGATTTTTTCTTGTTAGGTTCCCATTTTCATCACATCACTGAAAGAGGAGTTCTAAAATCGCAACAAATACCAACTCATTTACATAACAACGAAACATTTTTCACTCACCCGGCATCGGTAACGGCTCGAGACCTTTCCTCAATCGAACTGCATTCAATCGTTCCAATTTTGCTCTTTTCCTCTCTTCCAATAACCTTTTACGTTTCTCCCTCTCCTCTTCTGTTTTCTGAAATATTTCTTATAATCAACAGCAACATCATTTATCAACGCACTCTGAAACTCCCATAAACGTCTACTCACTAAAGTGAATTTCCTCTATCGAATTAAGTCAACCCCTCTTCAAACACCCACTTAAACGCAAACGTATCGCCACCTTCATGAATAAATATTCAACACCTTACATTACACTGATAAATCTTCACGACCCTATTGTGGTTTGAATATTATTGCGACACCTTTTCATTCATAGATAATTAAATCCTCAACAAAAACGCTTAATTATCAAAGAAAATCAACTGGAAAAATCAAAACTGAACCGAAAATCAGCAAAAATTAATGCTTACCTTGGTCAAATCCAACAACTCCTGCATCTGCTGCTGTCGTTTCTGCTCACTAATCGAGAACTGCACATGTGAAACACCATAAACCCGTTGTTCTACAATTTTACATCAGATAAATCAGATGGTCATATCAACTGAACTAAAGATTCAGTGCGACTGTATCATTTAAGAATTAAACATCAAACCTGTTAACCGTTAAAGACCGAATGTCCACATATTCATTTATATCTGATTGTGAGATTTTCCAAACAAAATTTCTAATTTCAACAATCCAAACCACACGGGTACGCACATTGAAGCTCATCTGGCTCTATTCAAAAACAACAAAAAAGCAATAAAATTAAAAGCTGCAACATCAACATTTTTTACAAATCACCTTCATTCGCAACAAAATGAGTCGCCTCATTCTTCTCTGCTTCCTCCTTCTCACGTCTCAACTCCTCTTCTCTCCGTTCATTTTCTTCACGTTTCTTCGCCTCAAAGTCAACCATGAATTCCACAGACTGTCCATCTTCTATAAATTAATCATATTACACCATTCATATACTAATCGTGCAATTCGTCGATAATAAAAAATGAGCTTAAATCATCAAATACAAATGAATAATAGTTAAATGCGGAGAGACATTTTACTCGTATCCTTAACTGTATCCCCTACCCAATCGTTTCCAAATGCAAGCACTTAACTTAGCGATTACCAATGTTTATTAACTTAAGTTTCTGCTGACAACATCGTCTTATCAGTAGTCAAAAAAGTGCCACTGATCGAAATAAATTCGCTAGTTTACTCTATTAATGGCTCCCCGCATTTCCAACGTAACTGGAAAATGAATGAATGAAGAAATGAATAAGTTAATCAATGAAGCAACCAAACCATACATACCATAGGCAAGTTTTTCACCTCTCGAAAGTCGATTATAAATTTCACTTTTCTCCTCTAAAATTTTCTTCGCTTTCAACCGGGCCTCTTCCTCTTCTCTCAAGCCCTTCTCCAAATCTTCGATTCGTTTCTGTCGTTTGCTACTTTCTTCCAGCTTTTGGCGTTCTTCTTCCTTTGTCATCAGTAGAATATTCTGAAACGAAAAAACTTTCCTGTTTAACTATGCAAACTTCCATCCTCTCAACAACAAAAATTTACAATAATCAGTAAACGAATACAGCTTTTCAATCAAAATATTCGGAACCAATGTACGACAAAAAGAAAATTTTCAACGTATCGAAGCAGGAGGAAAAAAAATTCAGATCTACAGCACCCTTTGAGAGTCTGAATTGAGAACTTGAACTTAAGCCTGAGCCTAAATATAGGTTTAGAATTAGAATATTTCTGAGCTAAACCGAATTTGAGATATGAAACGAACCCTTTTTGGTGCAGTTTGTGTCATACGCGCTTCAGCTCGACTTCGTTGCTCGGCTCTCTTCCTGTACAGTTCCCCTTTGAGATCCATGATCGCCGAAGCATCTGATGTTTTGATAAAATTCTTCTGACGACTGGCACTCGTTGACGGCTCATCCGGCAAAGGTATCGCTGATTCGGCCATCTTCAAAATACTGGCGAAAAACGCGATTCTACGATTGCAATAACTGAAACTTAACCATAAGTTCAGAAATGTTAAATCGCTGAAATTCTACACAGAAAACACCCGCTGCATTTCAATAATCGCATCGAAAAATTGAAGTTTGTTGAATAATTCACTGGTCAGTCGATAGGATGAATGAATTCAAGTGGATTAGTACCGAAAAGTGAAACAACAACACTTGGAACAAAAGGAGATATTCCACTGAGAATTATTTATTACCTATCATTCTAAACTAACACATACATTATATCACATACATTCAGATATATACTTATATTGACAAAACAAACAACTGTACACCACGATTTCTTCACCTAATCGAATTGCCAAGAACGAATCACGACAACAACAGACATCATCAGTAACAATCATATGCGCACAGCAATGAAATTAATAACAAGAGAATAACTACAACAATAATAAAAGCTTAAACATGATACTAAAATGACTGTAATAAAGAAAACAGTAATTAAATATTTCAACGATTGATATACGGGATATAATAAAGGATGTGTCATAATAAAAGGATAACAATAATACTAAAAGGATAAAAACATTTTCATCACATACAGAAACGTCTGATTTGAGGCTGCTATTGTTCAAATAGCTTTCTAGTTCTTTTTATCCATCGCGAGCCAATCCCACTCGTTCACTTTCCTCAGATCCAACTTCGCTGGAGATTCCTCCAAAGGGATATTTCCTGGTGGCGTCACAAAATAATCCTCGACCAATTCGACCGCATTTGATAGTATCTTAAAACCGCTGTATTAACATAAAGCACCCTATCATGCATTGCATACAGTTATTCATCCTAAATTTAATCACACGTATTCACCTCAGGCCAATCCACTTTAAATGCAGCATACCACAAATAACATTTGATTACATCGAAATATATTTCTGGAATTGAATCCATTCCACTTATCCATTACGATGAATACGTGTTGTTATATGATGATTACTATAAAATAGCAGCACACTACAACATGCATTCTAACCTCTTGCTTTGAAACCGTTTGCTCGACTTTATCTTCTCTCAACGGACATTCCAAATTTTCTAGGACTGTTTCCATTGGTTCAACACCCTATAAAATTCCTCCATAACAAGCTGACCATACAATCAACATCTAATAACAAAAACGTACACAAAAACATCCGAAATAGCATTGAAAGCTTACAATCTCGTCATCTTTAGTAAAATGTCATAACGTAAAAGTTGAAATAATAGTAATAGTAACTATCAGAAATCGATGTGGAAGACGCTATTGATGTTTAATTTGCAGTTATATCAACGAAAACATGAAAAAAAATTAATATCAATCACAAAATGGCAAAAATGATGTAACAAAGACCAGTAATAACGAGAATTTTTTTCTGAAACCGACCGTTGTGTCGATCAATTTTAACTGATTCGCGTATTTGACCGCTTTCCTCAGATGTGCCACTGCTTCTTCGTCACTGAATCTCACCAAGGACAGTCGTTCCAAATGTGTTATCAACTTCTTGTCAAATACAGGTGGCTCTTCCACGAGGCTTTCATCAATCTTAAAATATACTAATCTTAAATAATATATCATCAGCAATTCCGTCGTTATCATCATGCATCCGAAGGGGAGATTAAAAAACCGAAAAGGGAAGACTAAATATTTTAACACAATCTCGAACTTTTCTCTAGCTTCAATTCAACAATTTCAATAAATTCATTGAATAATAAAATATAAATTATGGAGCAAATACGTCAATAATTAACCTTTGATGTGCATGGTTCGCGTGGAACATACGAACATTGTGGCTCATTTTTTGCGATACTCTTAGAAGGTTCAATCCGAGTTGCTGAGGTGATTTGCTTCACTGAGCGTATGGAAGTTCTCAGAAGTCGTTTTGACATAACCACTGATGCTTGCGCAGATATCGTCATCGCAAAATAATTGATTAACATCAGCTGAACGTCTTTAACGTTTCCATAGAAAATAATTTTGAAAGACGATGAGGCACCGTTGGAAATGTTCGTAGAATTAAACTCCCTACAATCAACAGAAAATTTGAATTTTATTTTCAAAGAAAACAAATAAATGAAAGCGAAAAACAATAAATTAATAAAAAATCATGCACTTTTCGGCTATATACAGATAGTTGTTGAAGATATCCATTGTTTCGTCAAATAAATAAGAATCAAAACAATAAAATTGATAGCCAGAAGTAAATTCAGTGGAATACTGCAATATAGTTCAAGTAAAAATGGGGTGTGGTCTAACAGGTGCGTACGCACTTCGCAATAAGCGCGTGTCGGCGGAAGGAGGGCGGAGTCACCACCGCGTCGCGCGAGG